GTTTTTGTAGTATTGTTTCATGAGGTTATGCTGAGGATCAAGTGAGTGTTTGCACAGTGCCTGGCAAATAAGATGTACTCAAAAACTGTCAGATATTATTATTGCTATTAATCTGATAGATGATACATGCCTTAAACTGTAGTTAAAGGATAGCTTTAGATGATTGACAGCAAAGAGGAAGAACATCAGAGTGGAAGGGAATAACATTAGCAAAAGGATGAACATTATAACATGAAATCTGAGGCAAGAGTGAGAAAATTAACGTAATTGGTAAGAAAAATTCGTATTTGAGTATATAAAGATATTTTATAGTGGATAAAGTTGAGTCATATTATGGAAGACACAGAAGGAAAAAAAAAAGACAAATCTGGATTTGCTAAGGGGACAGTAGGGAGCCACTAAAGATTTTTCAGCAGGGTAGTTAACAGTTCTTCAGAAAGATTAGTCTTGCCCTAGTATTTGGGATATTGAAAAAGAGAGAACCAGAAGACACAAAGACAAAATAATAAGGACTGGGATATGGGTACACTAGAAAGCAAAAGACACAGCTTGCAATGTAAGAAAATGAAGACCCTATAACTGATATTTTGTTTCTTTGTCTTCTCCTCCACTCCTTAATTTCAGTAAAATATTTAAAACCCACATGCCTGAAAGAAGGTATCATTAACAGAAAATCAGATGACTTGCAAGGAAACTGGTTTATGAGGAAGAAAATTGAGTCCACAGTGTGTTTAAGAATATCTTTGACCCCACCGTATGTAGATCGTAACCAACTTTTCCTTCTATCAGACGGCGTGTCTCTGATTTGATATCAAGCTCCTTGATCCATTTTGAATTAACTCCAAATTCCTCAATAGGACACCCATAGCACAAAAGTTAATAACTAGAATCAACAAATGGGACTTACTCAAACTAAAAAGTTTTTTCTCAGCAAAAGAAACAATAAGAGAGGTAAATAGGGAGCCTACATCCTGGGAACAAATCTTTACTCCTCACACTTCAGATAGAGCCCTAATATCCAGAGTATACAAAGAACTCAAAAAATTAGACAATAAGATAACAAACAACCCAATCAACAAATGGGCCAAGGACCTGAACAGACACTTCTCAGAGGAGGACATACAGTCAATCAACAAGTACATGAAAAAATGCTCACCATCTCTAGCAGTCAGAGAAATGCAAATCAAAACCACCCTAAGGTACCATCTCACTCCAGTAAGATTGGCAGCCATTAGGAATTCAAACAACAATAAGTGCTGGCGAGGATGTGGGGAAAAGGGTACACTTGTACATTGCTGGTGGGACTGCAAATTGGTGCAGCCAATTTGGAAAGCAGTATGGAGATTTCTTGGAAAGCTGGGAATGGAGCCACCATTTGACCCAGCTATTCCCCTTCTCGGTCTATTCCCTAAAGACCTAAAAAGAGCATGCTACAGGGACACTGCTGCATCGATGTTCATAGCAGCACAATTCACAATAGCAAGACTGTGGAACCAACCTAGATGCCCTTCAATAGACGAATGGATAAAAAAAAATGTGGCATTTATACGCAATGGAGTATTACTCTGCATTAAAAAATGACAAAATCATAGAATTTGCAGGGAAATGGATGGCATTAGAGCAGATTATGCTAAGTGAAGCTAGCCAATCCCTAAAAAACAAATGCCAAATGTCTTCTTTGGTATAAGGAGAGTAACTAAGAACAGAGTAGGGAAGAAGAGCAGGAGAAGAAGATTATCATTAAATAGGGATGAGAGGTGGGAGGGAAAGGGAGAGAGAAGGGAAATTGCATGGAAATGGAAGGAGACCCTCAGGGTTATATAAAAGTACATACAAGAGGAAGTGAGGGGAAAGGGAAAAATAATACAAGGGGGAGAAATGAATGACAGTAGAGGGGGTAGAGAGAGAAGAGGGGAGAGGAGGGGAGGGGAGGGGGGATAGTAGAGGATAGGAAAGGCAGCAGAACACAACAGACACTAGTATGGCAATATGTAAATCAATGGATGTGTAACTGATGTGATTCTGCAATCTGTATATGGGGTAAAAATGGGAGTTCATAACCCACTTGAATCAAAGTGTGAAATATGATATATCAAGAAATTTGTAATGTTTTGAACAACCAACAATAAAAAAATTAAAAAAAAAGATGATGAGGTAAAAATAACAAGAAAAAAGAAAAATTATTAAAATGTGTACTTTGTAATATATACTTATTAGAAGTATATCCTAGAACAGGTTCTTGAACTGTATAATTTGCTATCTGGATCAGTTTGTATACACTGTGTACTATCTGATACAATGGTATTTGGTTTTGAACTTATAAATCTATTACATTTTTAAAATGCATCAAGCTAATTGGATCATGTCCTCAGTTGCTCTACATTAAGAAAGTTAGCTATGTCCACTGGTGTAATTAATTCCCTACTGCCTACTATGCTTGTGTAATAGTTTAAAACTACTCCCTACTTGCCACCTCCATTTTCCCATCACTACCACCTCTTGGAAGAAAGTTACTTACCATTGCAGTTAGCCTGGCACAGGGAACACCACCTACAGCAAGTTCCCTAGTTTTGCATGGTGCTCTTAATAATTCTGATGTTTTTAAAAGTTGATGTTGTTTCTTGCAAGGTCCAATCCCCATTTGCTGATGATGAGAAGAGCTGAATTGCATAACACCCCAAAAGATAGTTTCCTTATGGTTCCTGCAGAAAAACTGCCTCACATCAGTGCTTATGAATGTGAATGAATGCCCTCTGGCCCATCCTTGACAATGCTGTTGACCTGAGCCCATACTTACCTTCAGAATCCCAAAAGATATGACCAGGAGTAAAAGCAGTAGAATATATTTTCAGTGCACTGTGGTTTTTGATACATTCTTTACAAATTTGATTTCCTTGCCACACTTATAAAGTGAAGAAAAAAAAAATGAGATAGCATTACTGGCAGTCTCAGAACCTGCTATCATCTCCTGAAGGTTATTCTTTCCAACTAAGCATGACCGTAGTTCAAGGGGAGAATTCAGGAGAGGAACTGAGAGAAGCATTCTGATTGAATCAGAGAGGTATTTTGAGAAATTTGGAGTTGGGAAAGTTGATATTAAATTTTTTTTGAGAAAATAAGTGACAATTACCAAGCAGTGATTCTTTCAAATGTGTACTAATATTATAATATTTGATAATTTATGTATAAGTTGGAATATTATATCCATGAAGGTAAAACTCTTTGGAGACTTGTGGATGAGGCATTTACACCATGAATACAGTAAAAGTTTTTGAAAGTGAACCTCATTGTTCCACAAAGATAGTAAAACAACATATTAAATCATATCCCTGAGTAAATATTAATATTAATTAATTAATATTCATATTAACTATATTTTACTCAATTCACCATACTCTTCTTACCCTCTTCTTTGTTGGTTCACCTTTTGGTACTTACAAACTCTTTAATGCCTCTGTGCTTGGCTGTCTGAAATGTTTTTCTCATACTACTTCTTCTCTTTGGGGTCTACTTAAGAGTCACATTCTCAGTAGCGTTCCTTTACCACTTAATGTAAAATAGACTGTTATTTTATGCTCATTTGTTTCCTTACATATTTTCTCTTTTTATAGCAAGCATGAGAAACTCCATGAAAGTCAGAAGCTTTTATATCTTTTTTGCCACTGCATCCTCAGCATCTAGTGTAATGCTTGGCACATAGTAGATGTTCAGCAAATATTTTCTGAATATACAAAAGGGTGGATGAGTGGATTTTCAAAAAATTTAATTTTTTAATTTTAATTTTTTGAAAATAGCATCAGAAGATTGTCATGTGATTGTGATCCCTGAATCCCTAGGTTAACATTATAAGATTATCAATGACAAAATAAAGGTATGACCATTTTATGCATTAAACAAATACTAGGCACTTTCAATGAAGAAAATGCATGATAATTCACAGTAATTGATCTACTAGTTTACTTTCCATGTTTCAAACAGGTATTAGGTAGGCTCAAGTAAATTAACTGATACTTCTTCATACAAATTCAATGTTTTCTAGAAAAGAAAGTTACAATCTGGAAAATATAAATCTGAGTTTTGGAATTAGCATGGAAGCAAGGCTAGGAATGCAGATATGTTCCCTTGCCAGTTGGGGTGAGAAGCCAAGGGGATGGGAGACCATACTACAATGTATTATCAAGTTTAGTTTAGTATATCTTTTTGAGAGGAAGGGTACTGGGGATTGAACCCAGGAATGATCTACCACTAAGCTACATCCCCAGCCCTTTTAATTTTTTTTTTTAATTTTGAGACAGGGTCTCCCCAAATTTCTAAGGCCAGCCTACAACTTCCAATCCTCCTGCTTCAGACTGGGATGACAAGTTTGCGCCACTATGCCTGGCTTTAGTTTAGGATATCTCAAAATGACCATCCATTCCCTAGCAATGTTTTAGTCTGATGCACATGAGCACAGGAATAAAATACACAGATACAATTATATATTCCCTAGGATATTCTTTTAATCTGATCATTGAAAAAATTTTGTACCAAAGGTCTAAAGAAATAATAAAAATTTTTTATCAAGAGAATCCTTACTAGTACTAATGATTAAGAACAATTTTCTGTTAAAATTCCCAGAAGCATTTGGTTTTGTGAGACATTTCTTTTTAATTCCAGTGCTTTTGTTTCTTAAACTCATTTGTGGTTTAGAAATTTAAAATACTGATTATGGTCAACAAAATGTCAAGAAATGGATTTTTGGTGCATAGTCAAGTTTGGCCAGTTTATGAGACTTTTAAAATCTTTTAAAATCAAATAAAATATACTCACTCCAAGATTTCACTCTTATTTTTAAGACACTTGTTTTAAAATTATTATTTGAGAGTTTAAGGCTTTGTTTTTAAATTTTCTGTGATATTAAATATTTATGAGTTTGACTTTGCTTCTGAGATGGTAAAAATCATATTTTATCAAACTTCAAAAGTTGGTTGTAAATCAGTTTTCTTCCCAATTTTCTATAGGGTTTCATCAGAATGTTTAGCGTGGGATACTTGATCCAGTGCTGCCTGCGAATCCCCTCTGCATTTAGGCATCTGTTTACAAAGCCATCCCGGCTACTTTCTCTCTTCTACAATAAAGAAAACTTCCAGCTTGGAGCTTTTCTTGGTTCTTTTGTTAGTATATACAAGGTAAGATTTTTAAGAAGAGAAAAGAAAAATGTGATAATAAACAACATGGTTATTTTAAGAATGAAATATGGCTTTAATTCAACTATCATTTTATTTAATACTTATTTTCAGCATATTCATAAATATATTGACACCAAATATACAGTATATTTAGAAATATCTTCTTTTAGAATGATATTTAACATGCTTGAATATGGGAACACACTCTCATTTACATATAATATTACAGTTACCAAAGATTTCTTTTTCTTTTTGAATGCATTGACAATGTGAATTTCTTGATATTTCCAGTGTCAAAAATGATTATATAGCTGGTCTGTGGTTTTTAATTACATTTACTACTTTTATTAATTTATACATATTTCAGACCCTTCTAGCTGATATCAATACTTGACTGAATCCATAAAGATTTTCTATTATAACGTATAAACAATCTTATTTTCACTCTGTATATACTCACTCTTCTTATTATTGTCACAAATTACAAGAGTTAACATTCTTCTACCTCTTTCTGTATATTCTTATAAATGTACACAAAGGTATATAAACCCACACCTAAACCCATGTACAAAGATAATTCTTGACACAGTACTTTCAGCTTTAAGTAATGAATTGCCTTTTGGTTAATGGGAATTACTAATATATTAATCATATTACTGACCTATTTTATTAGATATCTAAAATTTAAATTCAAAACCTAAATATATTCTAAATTATAAAGTATGTTAAAGATGATTTAAGTACTCATTTATACATATATGTATGTATATATTTTTTCTTTGAAAAAATTAATGCTGGGAAAATTGAAATTGAGTTAATTTATTATAAATAAAATGGTTATGTATCATTTTAAGGAAAAGTTTGATCATAAAAGGTAGGTGGGAAAAAGTATTTTGTAATGGAAAAGAGTAACCAACTATAGATGAACTCTAAATAATCACTTGTTATGAAATCTTAACTAATACTAAAGAATATTCAATATGGTTTGACTAGGAAGCATTACTAATGTCTTTGAGCATGCAAGAGTTAAGGATAAATTACTGGTAATTGCATGTTTATATTCACATTCTTTTTAATTTCTCATGTTATAGTATTTGTATTTATTCTTAACAAAAACTCTTAAATGTTTACACATGTATTATTTACAACATTTTTAGTGCTAGGTTGATTATTCTCTCCCATCTAGTCTATCTTAATGTGCATTGTGTTTTATTTTGCTTTTTGATTTTCATTTCTTATACTATTTATTTGCTTATTTGTAAATACAAACTAAAGTCATTAAACTAAAGAAAATAAAACTGAACCAAAAGATCTCATGGAATATACTCACTTTTTGTATTCTAAAGCCATATGCGAGTTTTAAAAACAAATTTTCCATGCCACTAGGATCTCTATAATATTGTAACTATTATAAAATAATAAACTTTTTAGTTTCTGTTCTTTGGTGAACTGAACCTTTATCCATCCATCTGTTGACAGACCAGGACTACTTTCTTACTTAGCTATTATGAATTGTGTTGCTGTAAATATGAGTATTACTATAGTATGCTGACTAATTCTTTAAAAAAAAATCCCAATGAGTGGTGTAGCTGGGTCATATGGTAATTCTATACTTAGTCTTTTGAGCAACCTCCATACTGATTTCTGCAGTGGTTATATTAATTTGTAATCACATCAGCAGTATACAAGAGTTCTTTTTCTCCCACATTCTTTCTAGCATTTATAATTACTTGTATTTTTGATGATAGCCACTCAAATTGGAGTGAGGTGAATTCTTGATGTAGTTTTGATTTGCATTTCCCTGATTGCTAGAATATTGGACATTTTTTCATGTATTTGTTGGGCATTGAATTTCTTATTTTGAGAACTGTTTAGTTCATTTGTCCATTTATTAATTAGTTTATTTGTGTGTGTGTAAATGTGTGTCTGTGTTAAGATTTTTGAGTTCTTTATATATTGCAGTTATTAATCCCTTGTGGGAAGAGTGACCAGCAAAGATTTTTTTCCCATTCTGTAGCTCTTGTCTTTCCCACTCTTTTTTCCTTTGCTAAGTAGAAGTGTTTTAACTTGATGCCATACCATTTATTAATTCAATAAAAATGATATGTAATTTCTTATTAGAGTCTATCTAGAACTATGACTTTATAACAGATTGTTTTTCATAATATTTCCAATCTTTGTAGTCAGTTTAATTTACATAAGACCACCAGTTTGTCTCCAGGGTCATCTAATGAATCATCTAGTGAAACATATTAATGGTTGTTGTTTTCATGCAATCATGCAATTTTATTTTTAGAAATAACTGAAGTCATTATATTTTTTTCCCCCTCAATACAGGGTACTAGTTGCTTTCTGCGTTGGATCAGAAACCTGGATGATGAACTACATGCTATTATAGCTGGTAAAGCAATAATTAAAAGAGAATGATTACAATTTTATCAATCAGTGACAAGAATAAATGGGAAATAGCTTCCAAATTCATCTAATTTTTATGTATCTTCTTTTATCTATTGTAATAGAATCCCTCCCAAGACACTCACCCAAATATTTTGTCTGTGAGCTAAACATATCCGCCACTCTGGCCATCTATTGTTCTATATTGCTTGCAATATAATGACTTGGATCTGCCTACGACAGGCTAGAAATTTAAAGAATGTATCAGAAAAGTACATAAAGACTTAAAATCTTATATAAGTGATTAATGGCAGTTTAAGTAGATTTTTTTAAATTTTATTTTTGCCAATGGAAAATGACATATTTTAATAATATTTGAAAGGAACTTTAATCATTTTATAGAAATGAAAAATAGATATTATTTTCTAAACTGAAATATATGTAGTTCTTAAGTGAGATTTTTTTTCAGATATTTATTAGTAATAATCCTACTATTAGTATTTTCACATCCCACCCCTGTAGAAAAGTGTGACCCTAGCACAAAAATAATTTGAGCTGCTAGGAAAATAGATGAATAAACACTCCCACTTAAGATCAGAGATACCAATAGCCTTTAAAAAGTTATTTTAAAAATGTTGTATTTACCAAAAAGACTACTGTTTTAAACAGTAGTTGTCACACATAAATCAGAACTGTTTGTTCCTAATTCTGAAATTTAATTTATTTAATCTAGAATATGTGATAAGAACTCACTCCATTTTAATGTCATCAAGTGTATTTTTGTCCTTATTGTGTTGTATCTAGAAGCAGTGCTGGAGTGAGTTAATTCTGAACTATTTGAATAAATTAACATTTCTGATGACTTAATAGCAAAGAAATACTTTGTAATCTTAACAGTTTTTTCATATTTGTTTTTTCAGGATTTTTGGCGGGTATATCAATGATGTTTTATAAAAGCACAACAATTTCCATGTATTTAGCTTCCAAACTGGTAGAGGTAAGCAAACAATTTTATGCACAAACAGTTCCAGAGGATATAAAGCTTTTTTTTTTTTTTAAAAAAAAAAAAACAACTTCTGCTTTAAGCACAAATATATAACTTCACTACCAAAGCAAATTCTAATTCTTTAAAAGTATTTACAGTCATTTTCTCCATGTGCTATTTTCAAATATACACAAATGTAGAAAGAATAGTGTAATAATTAACCTTTGTGTATCCATCATGCAAAATCAACAATTATCAGTGTTTGGCTAATCTCTTTTCATCTATACTCCTCAACTCTCAGGTACTGAATTAACTTAAAGCAAATCCCAGACATGTATCATTTTGTCCTATTAAAAACTCAGGATAGATTTCTTAAAAGTGAATCAACATTATCATGCAAGTAGAACCACAATACTATAATCCTACATTTCAAAAAACTTAATATTATCATATATCTAATTAGTTTCTTCTTCACTGATTATCTTATAAATATTTTTATGCGATATCTTTAGTTGAATCAAAATGCAGTCTCTTAATTTATGATAGTTATTTTTTTCCTCCTTCTTTTTCCATTTTTTTTAATCTCTTGCCATTGATTTGTTGAAGATCTAGATCGTTAGTTCATGGAATTTCCCACATTTTGGATTTTACTGATTGAATTCTCACTGATGTTATTTATTATGTTTATCTCAAATATTTCCTATAAATTGTTAAGTAGATCTAGAGGCTTAATCAAATTCAAGTTCAAGTTTTAGAAGTGAGGGTAAGTGGCAGAAGTACTTTACATGTTCTTTGTGGATAAACTTCCCATTCATTGTATCACATTAAAAGTTACAAAAATGTCTGGTTGTCTTTCTATTGATACTAAATTGACTAATAGGACCAGGTATACACAGAGCCTATGTAAGATTTCCAATAGCCTTTCACCTCATAGTTTTACCAGCCATACATGATCATTACTGGAGTTCATTATTTCATTAAGTGTTGCAAAATTGTGATAACCTGTTGTTACTTCTACTGTATTCATTAGCAAGAATGTTTCTAAAAATAAAAAAAAAAAAATCTTTCCCATTTTAAGTATTTGGCTACTCTGAAATAGTTTGTTCAGGAAATGAAGATAAAATGCTTGCTTACTTTTCTTTATCAGTGTTCAGAATGAGTTAGTACCTTAGCATTCTGCCTAAGTGAGTTGCGTATCTGATTTGTTTTAACCCAGTACATTCATTATGCTCAAGTTGTCCCAATCTTTGGCCTGGAGAGCCTCCTTAAGTTGACTCCTGTTTGTTTTGACATATGCCATTATTTTTTATCCCTTTCTTGATTTTTAAAATATCTTTTTAACAAGATATTTTAGGCTCATCTGAGACATTTTCTGTCTTAGACATTGAATCAGCTTTTCCCCCCAATGGTTCCTAATTTCTTTTACTGGGAAAAGATATTCAGAGGCTTCAACTAGCGTTTTTGCCCAGGTTGAGCATTGTTTCTTGGTTTTTCCAGTAAACACACCTAGAGAATCTTTTCTTCCTCCTTTCTTTTTAGAGAGAGAGAAAATATGTTTGGAGTTTATTGCTATTTCCATGTAAAAGTTAAGATTATATATTTTATTTTACTTTTTAGACGTTTATAAAGTTTTATCTCACACTGAAAATCTGTGCTCCTAATGACATTAAAAAAATACATATTTGCTTTTCCCAAGTGTGTTAGTGTGCATGTATGGGTGCATTCATGAGGAGCAAGTGGGGGGGGGGCACAGATATGCATGGAGTGGGGGAGAGGGAGAGAGAAAGGAAAGAAAGGAGAGAAGAGAGGAGGAGAAGAAGAACAACAGGGGAAGAAGAGGAGAGAAAGTATACATAACGAAATTAGAGAGACAGGCAGAAGCTAGTATTTTAAAACCTGGGGTAAAGAATTTGGTTGTTTTCTCAGTTCATGTCTAAGCATGAAATGACATGATTTAATTCACATTTTTAAGATAACCACTCTGGATATTATATGGAGAGTATTTTAAAGGGAGGCAAATGATAGAACCAGGAGTATCATCTTCAAATCCAGACTTGAAACCCCTGTTTGTTTCAATTTCATGCCTAGAGTTTTGGAGTAAAGGCTTGGAGAACAAAGTCTTTAGCAGAAGATGTTGGCTCATTTCAGAATAGAAGGTGTAGGGATAGAAAGAAGTACACAGATATGGTTTGTTTGGTAATAGAGATGATAAGAATTGCTAATGGAACAGAGAAGAAAAGGAAGAAATATTAACTAACTCCTGGATAGCAAATTATATTCTTGGATACAGGAGGAAGCCAGTGTTGAGATCCAGCTTGTAACAGGTGTTTTACAGCTGCTTCCTAAGTGACTAGTTTTTTAAGCCAAGCAATGGTATCACTTTGTATCTTATGTCATCAGGCATATCTTATCTTGAAAAAACAAACTGTCATGTAAAGTGTACTGACGAGGAATTTTTAAAAGAAAATGAGAAATTTATGATTATTTATGCTTTTTGTGAAATTAGTTAAAATGGTGTAATAGGCAATTTTTTTTCTATGATTGAAATAAATTTTATATTAAAAGCTTTCAAAATGATGGCCAGCATTATGACTGCTTATCTTGTTTCTTAAGTACATTGTAACTTTGTACATATCCTATGCTTTTTATATATCCCAACCCCTATTAATACGTTACATATATTTACTGAAGCCAGCCTCAGCAATTCTGTGAAGTGCTAAGCAACCAGTGAGACCCTGTCTCTAAATAAAATACAAAAATTGGGCTGCTTTATTATTTTCATCACTCATTTTACTTTAACTTTTTTATATACTAGAAAGCCCTTTCTATGAATTTTCCCTTGTTCTAGACATGTGTATTTGTTGGTAGTGTTCTCTCTCTCTCTCTCTCTCTCTCAGAGATATACTATCATGCCATTTTTTCTTTTATCTAATTGTTGATCCCATGCATCTTTAAAATGGTACAATTAAAAGTGTTGTATGCTGACTAGTGCTAGTTTGTCAACCATTTATTACCTCTCCATGACAAGCATGTCAAGGTAAGTAATATAGTAATACAGAGTAGGCATTGGAAGAGCTCCCTCCCCGCCGCTGCCATTTTTTTTCCCCTCAGTACTGGGGATTGAACTCAAAGGAGAGCTACCACTGAGCTGTATCTACAGCCTTATTTTTAGTTTTTATTTTTGATATCAGATCTTGCTAAGTTGCCCAGGCTAGCCTCCAACTTGTGATCCTCCTGCCTCAGCCTCCTGAGTGTCTAGGCTTACAGGCATGTACCAACATGCTTGGCAACACTGGGGAACTTTTACAGCTATTTGACAGAGTAATGTTGTCTTTGAATCTCAGAGTGCAAGTATGGTTCAATTCTGTATTTCTAAAATTTATTTTTTCTATTAAGTCATTTTATTATATCATAAATGCCATCAATCCATAGCAATTATAAATTCACTGCAAATGGTTAGGGGAACATTACTTAAATTTTGTCTTTCTAATAAGTCTTCTTGGTCCTCTATCCCAGAGGAGTGGTTGCTCCCTATTTTGGGGAGCCAAATAATATGTAATATATAACTCTTTTCTAGCTCTCATCATAGTGCATTAATGATATTTTATGCATTATGTTTTGTCCATTTCTAAATCCCTTGTTCCTAGCATTGTGTTCAGCATACAGTTGACACCATTAATGTTTACTGCCTGAACAAAGGAAGGAACAGATCTAATGAAGAAGGGAGGACTTATTTAAAAAAGCATTGAAGAATAAGTGACATAAAAGTAGTAGCAATAAAGTGCTATTGAATTTCACAGAAAATTATTGCTGCTTGAAGCTAGAGTTTAGAGTGAGGAATGAAAGAAAGGGAAGGGCTGACACTTATTGTTGTCACAGAAGATATACCATGATTTGAGCTCTGAAAGAGTTAGGATTCAGATAAATAGAAAACAGCTGTAGGTAGATAGAGGGCGTATATCATTCAACTATATTGTTAGTGCTTTTTTAATGTTTTTAATATAACTCTTGCATTATGCTTATTTTGCAGACAATGTATTTCAAAGGCATTGAAGCAGGGAAGGTTCCCTATTTTCCTCATGCAGATACTATTATCTATTCCATCTCTACAGCAATTTGTTTCCAGGCAGTAAGTATAGCTTTTGAAATGAGAAATAGAAATTTCTGTTTCTAATTTACATTAAGCCAGAGGGGGGAAAAATAAAAGCCTGAGAACATAACATTACGTTTTATACTTTTTGTTTTTTCAGCAAGATAGCTTGTATGTTTCAAATCATTAAACGTTAACTTAGTGGGCCAGACACTATTTTATGAACAGATCAATTTTTAGGTTTAAAAAGTGTGCAATCTATAGGTAAATCCTTATTCCAGAACCAAGGTTAGAATGCCCCCAATTTAATTATCCTTCCTGAAGAAAAAAAATACCACGGGTAAAATGTGAATTATTGCACTTCCCCAGCATTACTCAGAGAATGGGGAGGGGGAAAGAACTAGTTTAGCAGAAGCATTATTTCATCTTTTTAAGTCTGTTATTATTATTATGGATGTTAATGGTTTAAAGAGCTGTTGCAAAATTTTAGGGAGAGCTTTTATTTGCGCTTTATTATAGGAATGCTGCTATATTAATAAACTCATTAAAATCAGTGAAGTGTCAGCTAGATAGCTATCTAATGGGTATTCAGTAAATGCTTCCTGATAATAATAAATTACTCAATCATTATTCCCAAAGCCGCATTTCTATTTGAAGGCATATTAATAAATATTCTTCAAAGATATTGACTTAAATATGTTGTTATTATTTTTATCACTATCATTTAAAAAATACAATGAGCAATAGAGATAAAAAGTATTGCTCAAGACTTCAGATGTTTGTATTTACTTAAAAAAAAATCTCAAATTGAATAATCTTAGGCTGTCATGGAAGTTCAGACCTTGCGACCGTCTTACTGGAAGTTCCTTTTAAGGCTCACCAAGGGCAGGTAAGGAAAAAAAAATCTATAAAAAGATTATCAATCTCTGTCTCCTTCAAGGAATATTCTTTCAGTGGCAAAGTTGGTATTTATATATAAATCAAATATGACCAAATTAATAAGAAATATTGAATGATCATTATTCTGACTATTCTTATAATACTCTAGATATTTTAAAAGTTCTGGATTAATATCCTGTTGCTTTGCTGACTGATAATTAGTAGCTCCATAAATACTTTAGCCTACCTTTTCCAATCTATAATGATGTCTTCTTTTTGATTAAAAATATTAAACAGATTCATTAAAAGGGTTCATCTCTAATAATTCATTGGTTTCAGTAACCATCTTCTATTGCCCGATATTTTAAGTTTACTTTCCTTTTTTCTCCTTCTTTTCCTCTTCCTCCTCCTAGTCCTTGTTCTTGTTCTTCCCCTAATCTAAATTTGATTCTTTGGGAGAAAGCTGGACCTAATAGGAAGAGCATGAGCTTTGGAATCCTGGAGACCTGAGTGTGACTCCAGCTTTGGTACCTTTAACGATTTTTCTGTGGGAAATTTATTTGCCCTCATGAACCTAATGTTCCTTCTCTTTGTAATGAAGCAATTACACATACTGTCTTAATCTGTTTTATGTAGCTATAACAATACCTGGTGCTGGATTACATATGTAGAAAAAGAGGTTTGTTTGGCTCATGATTTTAGTAGCTGACAGGTACAAATAGCATGGTGCTGGCATTTTGGGTAAGGACCATCAGGGTATATCACAATGTGGTGGAGAAGCAGAAAGGGAACTGGTGACATGACAAGCATGTGATTTGGCCTTACTTTATAACAACTTATTCTTGGGGAAACTAATTCACTCCTACAGGACCCAATCCATTCAGTAAGGCTAGCATTAAACCATTCATGAGAGTGGAGTTCCCATCTCTTAATTATACTTCACTAGGCCATACCTCTTAAAGGTTCTACTACTGCCTCAACATCACCACACTTAGACTAAGTTTCTAGCATACTAACCTTTAGGGGGCAAACCATATCCAAAGCATATCCTATGCATTGTATGGTTGTGGGAAAATTAAGATATTCATAGTAGTGCTTAGCACTTACTAGGCACTCACTAAATCATAGCTGCTATTAATTTTACTATCATTAAGATTAATATAAATGCTAACATAGTACATACCATGTCCCAGATATAGTTTCAAGATATACACATATAACACATATATAAACTTATTCCTTAAAATAATTTAATGATATAAGTGCTATCATCTCCCTAGTTTTATATTTGAGAAAACTGAGAATCAGGAATGTTAGATAGAATGACACAGCTACCAAGCAAAAGAGCTGGGGGATAAGCCAGACATTCTGGCTTCAGAATTCTTCTCAGCCATGACATTATGTATCTTTCATACTATTATTGTTTCATCAAATTTTTGGGGTGTTTAGTTTTTTTTGAAAATTAATGGTTTTACCTAGTAATTATTTTGGAAGGGAACTTACTTTACTTTGGAAAAGAAGTAAAAGTCACATTTAATGGCTCTTGAAATATTGATGCTGGCCAGTGATTCAAAATTAACTTCATTTTGCCATCTCCTTCAGACAGGAAAAACTTGTGAAAAGACACTGAGACACAAAAAGTCCATCCTGTGCATTAGTTAAATGTGTCTTTTAAAAGCATTTCTTAAGTTAGGTGATGTATAACACGAAGATATATTTTATTCTTTTATATCTGTTAGAAATTGGAAGGCCTGATGCTGTTTGCTTTTTAGTCATTTAATATTTTCATTTTTGGATGTATTTTTATAGGACATTATGTTCTCAATTATGAGAGAAATTATATCTAACACTTTTGTCTCATTGGTAAATGTTAGCTCATTCATTGTTTTCTTAATTTCCTCTGATTTCATTCATCAGCAAAATGAACCTAATTTTCTATTTGACATACTTAAGTGGAAAGAAGTCTAGAAGGGTTTGAAATAACGTAATATGAATGGTTTCAGATTGGGGGATTATCTCTTTAAATATTAGACAGTGAATCTTGGTTAGCCCTTTCTGTTTTCCCATTCCATGAAAACTAAGTCAAATAAAGGAAATAATTTTATTTTATAAACTTCCTTAAATACTTCTTCATTGTTTCTTCTTTTTTACAGATTTGCTGTCATGAATCGAAAAGCCCTGGATGTTTTTGGTACTGGTGCATCTAAACACTTTCAGGGTTTCGTCCCCAGATTGGATCCAAGATATACAGTTGTAAAACCGGAGTTGCCGATAGAGTTTTCATGAAGATGGCTATAATTTATTAATGTGACTATATTTCATCATTATATCCTGAAGAGTTAATTATGTTGAATACAAAGAAGGGGGCCCAGCTCGAACTTCAGTGTTATTTCAATGAGAGAGCTTTTTTGTTTTGTTTTGTTTTTCTTACCAATCAGAAATACAGAAGCTTTTTAGGAAGGTGTTGCTTAATAATTAAGCTTCCTCTGTAGCCAGAATCTGATTCTGGATCACTGTAGTGGTTGACATTCTGATATATTATTGATTAAATTATGTCCACAAATGATATTGAATTATCTATATAGAAATGTAATAACAAGAGTACACTTAAAATTACTTAAAAGAGTCTTTAGTTCATTCCAATATAATTCTTGGTTTAAACTAAGAATATTTCTCATTTTAGGATTTACAAAGGATCACGGGTACGTGGATTTGGTCTGTGATTATTTTTAAGTTTTGAATTGGTATTTGTAGTAGTAGAATGTTATAGATTTGAAGGAATTCTCCATATACAATGCTGCTTTAGTATAGAGCAATGTAATTGGAGAAAAAGTGGCCATTCTTACTTCAGGGATGCAAAGATGGGTTTTATACCATTGGGGTAAATGTCGTGGTATCCATGCTCTTTTTTCAACTAGTAACACCATCTCTCTCCATGACCAGTAGGGCTGTTTGGCAGCCCAGTAAACCTACATACTAATGGCAGGTTAGGAACAAATGAAAATTTACACATGTGTTTTAATCTTTTACAATAGCATTACACTTGAATATTTAAAAACAAATATTTAAAAACAAATCTTTTAAACCTCCTATAGATATATTGTGTTTGTTGTCATTTATAGAGGCTGAATTGTTTATAATTCAGTTTGTATGCCATTGTTTTAGAAAGGATCAAAATCCTGTGGAACAAAAGAAGTTTTGCGAAGTTTAGCAGTGTTTTACCCTGTCAACTGTTTCACTTAAATAATAGATGTTTTACAACTAAAACAACATAAAATTCCAGCAGTTGTTAAAAAGTTTTTCATCACTAATTTAATTCATGTTCCTCAACTTCATTTTCAGAAACCACTGTCATCCTTTTTACTCTAGAATAAAGAAGTGACAAAATGTAGTCACTTTCTCTTGATGAAAGTAATTCAGGACAACTGATGAACATATGATTGCTATTTACAGTTTTTCAGGGAAAAGTTTTACTTTTCTAAGATAATAAAAGGCTTAAAGTGATTGTGATGTCTACAGGGAATGTAAAATCTAGGAGTGATGCTATTTTTGGAATATAATTTTGTTACTAAAAAGTTTTTAGGCCATGGTAAATCATGCAGTAGAATTTGTGTTACAAAAGGGATTTTTATCCAGAGGTTAAAAATGCATAATCCCCAATATTAAATTTTATTAAGCCTTGTATTACTTCTGTTTTTATGTCATCCTGTCTTTTGTTGTTATAACAAATTGAAACCCAACAAAAAGGTAGATTCTAGTACTGTGGTAACACGAGAGTCACTTTAGTTGGGTCAAAATTTTTCATTGTGAATAACTTTTTAGAGTAGACTTGCCATTTGGCAATACTGGTAAGGGATCATTTTGGTTTCAGACTTCAAAATTGATTAATGTAGTTTTAAGTTTTTATTGACTGGAATCAAAATGATGATTGGTACTATGTTTACTTTTTAAACATGAAGTATTAAAGCACTGAGAAGCACCAGCATGCACCTCATTTTCCCTGTTCAGAATTTATGTTTGTTATATTTTTCCTATCAGGTTAAACATAGACATTTAAATCCATAAGTTGTTATTTTCATTGCCATTAAAAAGCTATCATATTGAAAAACACATTCTATTGAAATTTTCTATGATTGTTTAGCAGAATTTTGCTGGTTAAGGTGCATTTCTGCAATATATATGTATATGTATACATATATCAACAAATTGCAATCATATTTTTATTTTATATAAAATGTAAAACAAAATAACCATCCTGAAGCAGAATATAGTGGTGAATGTATAGATTGAATGAATGGTTAACTAATTTGCAGTGGGGAATCAAGAATCAAGAAGTCCAGTTTGATTCCACTATGGCAGATTGCAAAGTATACTTGTTCAAGCAAACACAAAGAAACTTTGTGTTCCTGAAGACAATTAAAATGTCTTTCTACCTCTAACTAATCAGGTATTGATTAACAATGTATTGGCATCTTAAATAAAGTCAAATAGACCTCTCCATTCCAAAATATGTTTTTATTTTTAAAATCATTTAAATTCTCAAGAAATCATGTCCAAGTAAATTTCTACCAGACTGATAGTAGTAAACAAATATATGCCTGTTAGTCTTTCCAATATCTTTACGTGGAGTGAAGAACAGTGCATCTGGAGCAGTAGTAAATTGGTCATTTCATTGCTATTCCCCGTATTAGTAAAATCCTATAACTTGTACCAACTAAGTAAAGATTGAGGTTGCAAGATAGTTGTCTTGAATCTGTTAGATTCGTACAACTTTTTCATCAGATAGTTTTTGTGTCCATTCTGAAACATTTCTGAAAGAATATCTTTGGTTCTGTTATCTTTTTTTTATGAATTCTGTATTGGATTCTGTAACTTTTTTCTTGCTCTATTAACATAGATATCACTCAATTTATATCTACTTTATTATTTTTACTTTTTTTGCTATTGTTTAGTCAGTTGTTATTTAATTTATAATTTTGTTATTCTTTACTCTCAGATTTTATAATTTACTTTTACCAAGAACAAATACGTATTTTGTGATGGAACTCACATTGGGTATTTGTCATATTTTCTGGAATACACACATCCTTGTAGATTATGTCTAGGCTAACATTTGATTTAGATGATAATGCTGACAAAAAATAAAATGTTTATGCTTGGATTTCATCTATCCCTGAGTTTCTAAATCCTTGCCAGTACATAGGTGATAAAATCAATGTCCTTAACTCTCAAGGAATTTAGCTTGTGTTGCAGTCTCTCCTAGTAGTGGTGGCTGAGTAACTTCCTGGCAGGTCTATGAAGTGTCTGTCCACTGGGAGCAGTGACTCAGGTGTTCTTGTATAAGAGAAGCCCCCAGCCAAAGGATTCATTGATTCTGCTTGTAATTTATTTTTATTGTTTAAGTAGCAGGTAGTTTGATGGAGCAATGAAGTTTTTCTTTGGTACTCACAGGTGAAAATATTTATTTCTTAACTGTAACCTTGTTTAGATACCTGTTTGCTGCTGCTTATCTCATCAATATTAATTTTCTCCTTTTTTTTTTTTTTTTTGATACTGGGGATTGTACTTGGAGTGCTTTACTACTTGAGCCACACTCTCAGCCCTTTTTATATTATTTTATTTTTGGTCTCACTAAATTGCTGAGGCTGGCCTTGAACTTATGATCCACCTGCCTCAGCATACCCACCTGCTAGGATTATAGCCATGTGATAAAATGCCTAGCTGATGAAGAAACTTTTTTTTTTTAGTACTAGGGACTGACTAAGGCCTCACATATGCTATGCAAGTACTCTACTGCTGAGCCACCAGCCCCTCATTTTCTCTCATAGAAAATTTGGGTAACTGAAAATGAATAGCCCAAAAGTTAAAAATCATTTAAAAAGGAACAAGAAATGAATAATTCCTGTGAGGCTGGCTTTGAAGGTGATGAGTAATAAGTTGCCTTCATTGTAGAGGCATACGAGACAGTTCTTAAACTATCTTCAAGTTCCCAATCATGTGGCTTCTTTTCAATAGCCCTTCAGGGTTGGTGCTGTCTCTATAATATCTTGTTGTGGAATTAACAAGGAAAGCAGGGTCAGGGACTGCGGAAACCCTGAGATCAGGGTATGGGCTTGGATTGTAGGGCTGTGTAGTATTGTGTTTCTGTTTCAAGTTGTAGCCCTAGATGACTTTGTGATAGCTGTGTGGTTATGAAAGAAGTTACTATACAGAAGTGACACTGACACTGGTTTGTGACTTCTGAAAACAGTGGAGGAGCTTGGCTATAATGTGGCCTGTATGCTAGGATTGAGCCTGTGGTCAAGAATAATATATGACATTTTACACTGAGATAGTGACTTTTAATTGGAGAAAGGAATTCATAGCTTTAAAAAATTATCTTGTCCCTTTTCCTTCTTCTTTTCCCCCCTTTCCCAATTCTCTCCTTTTTTTTTTCTTTTTTTTTTTCCTTCCCAGCCTTAGATTTTTCCCCTCAGTGCTGGGACTGCTAGGCAAGCATGCTATCACTAAGCTATTTCCCCAGCCAAACCAGACTTGGAGTCTTTATGCCTGACTTTTTGTTACCCCTTTATCTTTCTTCTCTTGCTGGTGTTATTTTGTGCTCCTCAGACTCAAGAGCTCCAGTGCAACCTTTGATGCCAGCTAGTCTAGTGGGGGTAGTTGTGGGGCCTCTGGAAATACCATGACGATGGAATAAACATTTTCGGGGACAGTGATTTTTTTAAATACAGTTCTCCATTTCTTAGGCAGGATGGAATGGAGGATAATTGCACAAATGTGGAAAGAGATGTTTCTCTGTTCATAAGGCCTTTAACTCCAGAACAGTGTCTTACAGCCCTGTAACATCACTTGACTCTGATGTCTTGTGGCTTCATTTAAGGGGCAAGAAATAATTTATTTTTCCTTTTGCTATCTTATATTTTCCCCATCTGTACTTCCTCCAAATCTGTTTGAAGTGAGATAATATATTGGACTTTATCTTTTGTCCTCGCAGATATAAAAATCCCAATAATAACCTTGGTCAGACTCAGTATCCCTTTGTGGCTTGAAAAGTAGATCTCCACAGAGTGGACCAGTGGACCTATATCATCTGAAGTTGCCCCTGCAGAACTCCCTCTCTCTTTCCTTAATTTGGACTGGTTAATTTCTGAGGCTGATTCCTTCAGTGTTGTTTAAACTTCTCTCAGTCATAAATCAGTTCCTTAAGTGAATTTTCTTCTCAGATTATTTTGGTCACCCAAGAGGGCTCTGAGGCCTTGAGAGAGGTCTAAAATGGCTTAATAAAGCAGAAGTACATTACGTGTTTCTGGTTACTGTGGGATGAAGAGCCAAAATGGATGGGTGAGAAAACACTCAGCACACATTTAAAGCCTTATCTATGTCTTCCTATTTCTTTACCTCCCAAACCTGTGCTTTTCTAGAGTATCTTTATCATTTATTTCTTTAGCTTGAGTTATTTAGGAGCAAAAAGAGACATTGTTTTCCTATTTATTTTGGGGCAAATTGAAGGTGAGCTCAGAGACAGTCATCAGTCTGACTCTTCATCAGGTAAGGTAAGAGCTTTAAGGAGTGTTGAGTCTGTAAAAAGCAAACTACCTCCTTTTTTCTTCTCACCCCTCAGAGGTAAGCCAGAGGGATCTAGTCCCAGGGGGAACTTTTACATTCACATCCCTGTGGCTTCCACCACAGGCCTCCACTGCCCAACTTGGCCTACTGAAGGGACAGAGAGGAAAGGGAAGTTCATTATTGAAGTACAGGCAATGTCCTCAAGCATTGCTGTGACTATAAACCTCACTGGAGGCCAGTGATCAAAACAGGGATTGACTCATGGGTACTTTGCTCCATCAATGTGTTCAGTGTTTTGTGTCATCAAATGGCCTTGTACTGCTTAAGAAAAGATAGCAGCTATTTTCTTATTAAATTGACAATGTGTTAAAGGTAATGAGAGTTTTACATGAATAGATTTTTAAATTTTCTTCTTTTTTTCTAGTTATTTTTAAAGAATAATTTGTTATACATGACAGGAGAATGCATCACATTTCATATTAAACATACAGAGCACAATTTTTCATATCTCTGGTTGTACACAAAATATATTCACCCCATTTGTGCCTTCATACATGTACTTAGGGTAATGATATCTATCTCATTCTACCATGTTTCCTACCCCCATGACCCCTCCCTCTCCCTCCCTCCCTTTTGCTCTATCTAGAGTTCATCTAATCCACCTATGCTCCACCCCCAACCCCATTATGAATCCACATCCTTATATCAGAGAAAATATTTGGTATTTACTTTTTGGGGGATTGGCTAACTTTACTTAGCATTATCTTCTCCAGTGCCATCCATTTACCTGCAAATGCCATAATTTTATTCTCTTTTAATGCTGAATAGTATTCTATTTTGTATATATGCCACGTTTTCATTATCCATTCATCAACTGAAGGGCATCTAGGTTGGATCCACAGTTTAGATATTGTGAATTGTGCTGCTATAAACATTGATGTGGCTGTGTCCCTGTAGTATGCTGTTTTTAAGTCCTTTGGATATAGACCAAGGAGTGGGATAGCTGGGTCAAATGGTGGTTCCATTCCCGTTTTCCAAGGAATCTCCATAGTACTTTCCATATTGGCTGCACCAATTTGCAGTCCCACCAGCAGTATATGAGTATGCCTTTCCCCCCATCTTTACCAACACTTATTGTTGTTTGTATTCTTAATAGCTGCCGTTCTGACTGGAGTGAGATGAAATCTTAGAGTAGTTTTAATTTGCATTTCTCTAATTGCTAGAGACATTAAACGTTTTTTCATATATTTGTTGATTGATTGAATATCATCTTTTGCGAAGTGTCTTGGCCCATTTATTGATTGGGTTATTTGGTTTTTTTGGTGTTAAAATTTTTGAGTTCTTTATGTACCCTTGCAATTAGTGCTCTATCTGATATGCGTGTGGTAAAAATTTGTTCCCAATTAGTAGGTTCTCTATTTACCTCACTGAATGTTTTTATGCTGAGAAGAAGTTTTTTAGTTTGAGTCCATTCCATTTATTGATTTTTGATTTTAATTCTTTAAGTCTTATTAAGAAAGTCAGGGCCTAATTTGACATGATGGAGATTTGGGCCTGAAAGCATTTTCTGTAAAAAGTGGAACAAGACAGAGATGCCCTCTTTCACCACTTCTGTTTAACATAGTTCTTGAAATACTGGACAGAGCAATACAGATAGGATATTAAAATAGCACTATTTTAATATAGGATAGCAAAATAGCACTATTTGCCGATGATAGGATTCTATACCTAGAAGACCCAAAAAATTGCACCAGAAAACTTCTAGAACTAATAAATGAATTCAGCAAAGTAGCAGGATATAAAATTAACACCCATAAATCAAAGGCATTTCTTATATTAGTGACAAATCCTCTGAAACAGAAACAAGGAAAACTATTTACAATAGCATCACCAAAAAATAAAATACTTGGGAACAAACCTGACAAAATAGGTGAAAGACCTCTATAACAAAAACTACAGAACACTAAAGAAAGAAATTAAAGAAGCCCTTAGAAGATGGAAAGATCTACCTTATTCTTGGATAGGCAGAATTAATATTGTTAAAATGACCATTCTACCAAAAGCACTATACAAATTTAATGCAATTCTAATCAAAATCCCAATGACATTCCTCATAGAAATAGAAAAAGAAGTCATGAAATTCATCTGGAAAAAATAAGAGACCCAGAATAGCTAAAGCAATTCTTAGCAAGAAGAGTGAAGCAGGTGGCCTCACTATACCACACCTTAAACTATACTACAGAGCAATAGTAACCAAAACAGCATGGTATTGGCACCAAAATAGACTTGTGGACCAATGGTATAGAATAGAGACACAGAGACAAACCCACGTAACTATCTATAGTTATCTTATATTAGACAGAGATGCCAAAAACATACATTGGGGAAAAGATAGCCTCTTCAACAAATGGTGCTGGGAAAACTGGAAATCTATATGCAACAAAATGAAATTTAACCCCTATCTCTCACCTTGCACAAAATTCAAAGTGGATCAAGGACCTAGGAATTAAACCAGGGACACTGTGCCCAAATCATCTTGTTTTGAAATTTAATTTATAATGTAAAAAAGAAAGTCTTAAAAGCTACAGGAAGGAAGCAAT